GATGTCATAATCACCAATAATCCTTACAAGAGCAAATTCCATTGTGAAAATGGTGGAAGCGATTGGAATCACGAATAACAATTTCCTTGTTTGTAATGTCAGACACACCCTTCATGAACTCATGGCAGTCTCCACATATACGAAGATTTTTAAAGATTCTAATTCTTCTACTGTTGCCATTGCTCACAAGTGCAAAAGCCAAAGCTAGCCTCTCACTATGATGAAAGAGATTTTCTTTCTTATCGGCATCTGGTACATTATGAAGCACATAATGTGTGTTTGGAGTATAACCAACCGACTGAAGTCTTTGATGCAGGTCCTCCAACTTTTGGTAAATATCAGTTAATTGTGGATGTGAAGCATCCTGAGACAAGAAGACGTGCGTTTTGGCATCGACCCCAACCCAGCTACAACCAGGTTCCTTCTTAACACCTCTACTCGACATTAATGCTCTAATTCTTGAGACATCATTCCACCTACCTTTGGCTGCATATAAGTTAGACAACAATATATAGCTTGAATCCTCATCAGGTTCAATTTCAAAAAGTTTTTGAGCAGCTTTTTCACCCATTTCTACATTTCCATGAATTTTACAAGCCCCAAGAACAGTCTCCCAGATTAACGTATTTGGAGCTATTTTCATCTGTTGAATGAAGCTTTCCAGCTCGCTAAACCTGCCTGCCCGGCCAAGGATATCAACCATACAAGCATAGTGATCAACTGAAGGAGCAATTCCATATAATTCGCTCATCAAGTGGAAATGCTTCTTTCCTTCTTCAACCAAACCCATGTGGCTGCATGCAGAAAGGACACCAATAAAACTAACCCCATCAGGCTGCACATCTTTATTCAACATGGCTTCGAAAGAGTGAAGAGCCTTTTCATTCTGCCCGTGTTTGGAGTGTCCACATATCATTGTGTTCCACAGCACTGTATCAACGGTTTCTATGCTCTTAAATATCATTTCAGCATCATCTACACAACCACATTTTCCATACATATCAACCAGTGCACTGGCCACATATACATCACAAAAATGTCCAGACTTAATTGCCCAGGAGTGCAGCTGCTGTCCATTTATAAGGCTTGCTATCCCAGCGCAAGCCCTCAGGCAGCTGGCCAGAGTAAATTCGTTAGCTTTGACTCCTTCCCTCTGCATCCGATTGAAGAAGCCAAGGGCCTTCTCTCCTTGATTATCAGTCTGAGCATAACCAGCAATGAGAACTGTCCAAGTAAAGATGTCTCTTTCACTCAATCTGTTAAAAATCAACTCCACATCATCCAGGCATCTGCACTTAGAGTACATGTCAATCAGAGCAGTTCCTACATGACCATCAGTACAAAGGTTATTCTTAAGTAAATAGGCATGCACTTGCTTCCCAAAACTAGCATTTAGCTGGCTAGTGCAAGACCTCAAAGTGCTTATTAAAGTGTACTGGTTTGGTCTTAGGCCTTCTATAAGCATCTTCTTAAAAATCATTGGTCCTTGATCAGAACTTTCACCATCATGATATCCAGATAAAAGTGCATTCCATGAAACCACATCCTTTTGACTCATCGCGGAAAAAACCTTTAGACCATCATAAACTAAACCAAGTTTCATGTACATGGTGATCAGAGCATTGCTAACTGACAAATCGGACTCAAAATTAAATTTCCAAATGCAAGCATGAATGCTTTTGCAAAAGCGTGGATCACCCAAATCCGTGGCAGCGCTAACAACAGTTGAGAGTGAAAATTGGTTAGGCCTCAATCCCGATTGCATCATTGAATGAAACAACTCCACCGCCTCTAGTTTCTGTCCTTGTTGATCAAGGCCACTCATCATCGTACTCCAAGTCACAATATCAGGGTCCCTGATCATCTTAAATACTTGCAGTGCATCATTTGCCAACTCACATTTGGAATACACATCGACTAGACCACAACTAATAAAATCATCAAAGGCACTCCCAATCTTGATTGCCATTGAATGAACAACCTGGCCTGCCCTCAAACTCTGCGAACTGGCACATCCCTTCAGAACAGTTGACAAGGTATAGTTACTGAACCTCATATCTGACTCTGTCATTTTACAGAACAAATTCAAAAGTTTATGTCCATCACCAAGTTGGGTATACCCATTAAGCAAAACATTCCATGATACAGCATTCTGCTCCGGCATGAAGAAAAATACTTTATCTGCATATTCCATTTCGCCACACTTAGCATAAAGATCAACTAAAGCAGAACCAACATAAACATCTGTAAATGCCTCCCCTTTAACAACCTCAGCATGCAACTGTTTCCCGAATTCTAAACCAGAGACCATGGAACAAGCTCTTAAAACTGTTGCCAACGTGAACTCATTAGGTCTTATGCCTTCCCTCCTCATCTCACAAAATAACTGAACACCTTCTTGGCCAAGCCCTTCAGCTACAAACCCCGAAATCAAAGCAGTCCACGACACTACATCTTTCTCAGGCATCTCATCTAACACCCTACGCGCAAAGCTCAAAGCCCCACACTTAGCATAAAAGTTAATTAACGAAACAAATAAATGACTGTCAGGGTCAATCCCAATCTTGATCAAATTTGCGTGACGAGCTTTACCCTCATTCAAGCATAAATTTACAGCATAATACCGAAAGGTTTCCGAGTACCATCTCAACACCCTTCCTCTGTCCAAATTTACAACAGTGCCGTCGTCATCCACCCCGCCTAAATAATCCCCTCTAATTCTCCTTTTAGTCCCTTTTTGCATAGGAAGCAGCACCGAATCAGGAGAATCGAGATTTCTCGGCCCCGTTTTGGACCCATTTGAGAGTCGGAATTTTGGGATTTCTTTGTTCCTCCCTCCATTTCTGGACACGTTTGTGGGTGCACCAGGCGGCCTAAATCTTGGGATCTTGGCATTTCTAAATTGAGAATCAGTAGCTATATTATTGTATTCGATGGTTCTGGGAGCAGCACAAGAGGAAGAAAGAGACCGCACAGATAGTAAAGGAGGTGTCAGAAAAAGTGCCTGGCTTTTGCTGGGGAAAAACATCAAGCAAGGTATAGGATAAAGAGTTGAAACGAAACCTCGGATGTCGGGGGAGGCGGGAGACGCATTGGTGGAACGTCAAAATTGCATTTCATTCTACATCAACATTATTCTTCAGTAGTGCTATCAAGTATCAACGCACCTGAAGAAGGGTAAGTTCGTGTACTAACATTTTCTTCCGAGACAAGTCAGACGACAGATATTTCATGAGGTTAAATTGGAGGGAAAAAAATGCTTGCCTGAGGTATTTTAGTTAGTTTACGATGAGGCTGACAAAAATTTAAAAAAAAAAAGAGAAAGAAATTATATAAGGGTCTGTCTAAAATACTCTGTTCGGATGGGAGTGTTTTTTAAATATAATAAAAATTTTTAAAAGATATTATAAAAGGTAATCTAAAAATTAATTTAAATTTTTTTAAAATTTTAAAAAATATCTCAAAATATATTTTAGAAATTCTTTTACTCTTAAATATCTCAAAATATTTTTTAAAAATATCCCAAAATATAATTTAAAAACTCTGTTACAGCAAAATTTTTCAAAAATATCCTCAAAAACAGTCAATCCAAACGCAGAAATTTTCTATCATACGGTATTTTTTTAATGATACTGTAAAAAGTGTAATGCTTTTGTATCTATCCTACAGTACTATATGCTTTGATTGTTAAAAGGAAATAACGCGTTGTTCAAATCGGGATCAAAAAAATTTTATTATTTTATAGAAGTTATTAATTTATCAAGATTTTATTGTAGTATATTTTTTCTTTTCTTTTTTCTTGGAAAGGAAATAGAATACCAGTATAAACATATAAGTACTACTTTTATGGTGCTGCATTTGAATTACTGGCTTCGTGCTACCCGAAGTGGTTATTCGTCGGATTTAGTCATCATTTAGATACAAATTCAGGTAGTTGTATTCAATTTTAGATATTCACTTTTGCAATTTCTTGTTGTACATCAAAGAGCTTATTTAAAAAGTGGGTGACTCTTGGTGAAATCCTTCTACTGAACTTAATCTTCACTGATAAAAGTTAAAGATGGATTTCAGGTATTTATATTTTGAAAAATAATATTGATTAAGGAAAAGCATATAAATACAATTATATACAGTAATAATTGTTAGTGTGTTAATTTATATAGTTTATTAGATATGATTTAAATTCTAAAAGAAAATATATTTGTTTGGTCAAGATGAATGAAATACCAAAGGAATATCATGAAATACTCTAATTTACAATTTTTTAAGTAAACTTTTACTTAATTTTAACCATGATGTATTTGTTTTTAGGATTCAATTACACTAAGGCAAATTATTACCTTTCCCCCCTCGAAGTGAACGTGAAAATTCGCATAATCATGTCATAGTTTACAATTATTGAATGTGTTTTTTAAATTTATTTTTTATTAACACGAAAGAAACATAAAAAGGAAGAAAACTTTTTTTAAATAACCAAGGACGAATAAAGATACATTTATTCACTATTATTATTATTATTTGATAAGAAAATAGTTCTAATTTTATAATTTCTTATTTATAATTCTTTCTATATTATCATTCAATCCATCCCTCCTCATTTATTCACTTAAAAACAACAAACTTGATATTATTACTGCATTATTTTTTTTCTTTTTCTGATAGCACATTTTAGTATTCCCTTTTGGCCATTTCCCAAAAATTTTCACAACTAAAATTGGCTGGTAATAAATTTTAAAAAATGAAAAAGAAAAAAAAAAGAGAGATAGTTTCCATGAATCCCGTGGTTATCTCGCGTCCATAACGGGTTCGAGCACCGGAGCTTACAGGCTAGCCGCCGCCTCATCCTAAATTTTTGGTTGGGGCCCATAAGCCCCATTCCCGCAACCCCATAATGATGAGTCAGGAGTCAGGGCTTTGCCAGGCAGCCAAGCTGTCGGTCATTCTTAACTGCGGTTAAATTTTGACCACACCCTTCCCTGTTCTGACTTTGCACTCCTTCCCTCCCTCTCTCTCGCTCTCATATTTTCTTTCGGAGCCGGGTTTTAATCCGATATATTCGCAGTCCCCGGCTGTTTGTCTCCTCCCCACGCTTCCACTGTGTGAAAGAGAAACTTCAGCCAAAAGAAAAAGAATTAGTTCATTCGACTTATAACTGTCGGTGGACGGGGTGGAGTTTATTTTCTGTTTGCAGGAACGGCCATAGATTTCTCATTTTCTGAGGGTACAGAGAGAAAAAAAGAATAAAGGAAAAACAAGAAAAAAAAAAATATATATATATATATAGAGAGAGAGAGAGACATGAAATAAAGAGAGAGAATCGCTTGGTATATAAGCCATTACAGCTGAAGCCACGGCCTCTGTATCCATCTGTACCACCTCTCAATATAGACTGATATATTCTATATATTTCTGTATCTTTCTCTCTATATAGATTATAATAGACGAAGAGGTGTTAAATCGAGCTTCCTTTTGGTTTCCAAGCGAGGAATTCCGGAGCCACTGGCCATGGCGGAGTCAAGCTCAAGCGACTCCGTTTCTGTCGATGTCGAGACCATTTATCTTGGCGGAAAGGTTCCCTTTCTCTCTCACCTATCAACTTACTACGCTCTGTTTTTTTTTTTTTTTGAGTTGTGTTGTTTATTTATGAAAACACTCGATTTTACGCAAAATGATGAAATGCTGTGTGAGGATTTTCGGTTCAATATGTCTGTTCAAGAAGAAAAAAGAAACGAAACGTCAGTTCTAGCTTCTTTTTTTTTTTTGCTTGAGAAGATAATCTTTAATGGTAATTCGTTAGTTTATTACTCTTTGTGGTGATTTTCTTGTGTAATATCTTGGTAATTGGTGAATTCTTTTCAATGCTTTAGAGTTCTGGAACTTCTTCAATTGTTTTGTTCCCAAATTAAGTAACCAAATATCGTCGATATCCAACACGAGATCTCTTACCCTGGAGTTGTAATTCTGCAGTTGCAGTTGGAACTTATGTATTTATTGAGCCAAATTTTGAGATATGATTTGTTTAGCTAATTATCCGTTTTTGTTGAGTTATTAAAATTTCATCCAGCTTCAATCCTTTGTTACTAAATGCCGTGTAGCCATTTCTTAATATCTTACAAATTTGCGTCAATTGAGGGGGTTTAAAAAATTTTAGATTCTGACGATTATTTTTTTTGTTTAGTTTTTTATAAGATAAAGGAGATAATGGATCTTAACTCGTTTTATTTCTTTGCTTCAATGATTTTCCCCTCGCGACTGGGAGGAGGAGGATTGCAATGAGGGTTTCCTGTTGCGTTAGTATTGCAGAATGAAAGTGCTAGTATTGTATGAGCTATCAAATCTGGCAAGTGAAATTTCAGGCATAAAATATTTGAAGCGGTTAGGTTTTTTGGACTTATGTTTGGTGTTTTTCTGGGCATTTTATATAAGGTGGGTAAAGACAGAATTATCTGTTCTCGACGTTTCCAGTTGGTGGTTTCCTGATTCTTGAAATCTATTGGTTAAAATTTGCCAAATGATGCAAACTTTTTTGTTGTGACACCTGTCATGTTCTAATTTTCAGTTATTTAAACCATAACCACCGTGGCAGTTACTCTGGGCATTTTTTGGTGCTGCCTGTGTGTTATTTTTCTTACTGGTTAGGCGTTGCAATCATCACTTGATTATTCCATCTGTCAGGGCATTATTTGTAGTTGGCCCCACATTTTTCTTTTAAGCTGGATTTTCTTTTTGAAGAGTCCAATCACTGGAAAACTTAAAAGCTAATTCTTGTCCCACCCTTTTTTTTTTCTCTTTTTCTTGCCAAAGTAAGAGTATAATTAATTAATCAAGAGAGGATGAATTGCCTATAATGGACTGAAGTTTTCTTTTATTTCAAGTTTGCCACAAATAAGCAACGATTTTTCCTTAGTTGAATTGGTTTTGTCCAACAGATATTAATGGTACGGAGTATGTTTGTCCTTTTTTTTTATAGTTTCCCGAAATTTGGAGTTATGGTGCGGTTGGTTCTCTATTGGAATTAGAATTGGTCAGATACAATTTCAATTGCAGACTGACTGCAAGCACTACTTGATCTTTTTGTCCTTGGTTTGAAGTCCCTCTGCCTCATAGAGTTCTCCTTAACATCAGACATTATCGTCAATGCAGGAACATATTGTAAGGACTGGCCGTGGTTCTGTGTCTGTTATAGTATACGGAGACAGAGAAAAGCCTGCACTAGTCACTTATCCTGATTTAGCTCTAAATCGTAAGTTATGAGCTTGTTCTTTTACAATTTAGACGCTCAAAATGTTTCTTTTTCTTTCTTTTTTAAGATACATTTCTCTTGTTCTTTGGATCATTTTCTCTAGTCTGATCAGTGGTTTTAAACTGTCTTTTTGCAGACGTGTCTTGTTTTCAAGGATTGTTCTTTTGTCCGGAAGCAGCTACTTTGCTGCTACATAATTTCTGCATCTATCACATTAGTCCTCCTGGGCATGAGGTCAGTAAAGTCTTGCGTGTTGGCTTTGTATTTAAAATATTATGTTTTGCGGTCGCAGTTCTTTTTTCGGCTCTAAACATAGTATTTTCTTAGTAATGCTTTTACTCACATAATACTTTTTTGGGGACTTCCACAAGAGTTCCTGCAGTTGGGAGCTGCAGCAATTTGTCCTGATGATCCAGTTTTGTCTGTTGACGATTTAACAGATCAAATAATTGAGGTTCTAAATTATTTTCGGTAATTTCTATGCTACAAGTCAAATAAATGCAGTATTTATTTTGTGCTGGTTTCCTCCAATATTTATTATTTTTAATTTGCTCATAATTTCCTATATGTATCTTGATCATTCACTTGTTCCTGATAACAAAGTGTGATCTGATGATGTAGGCTGGGTGCAGTGATGTGCATGGGGGTGACAGCTGGAGCTTACATCCTCTCCATGTTTGCTGTATGTTACTTTCATGAATCCATGCAGATGTCATCTAATGGTGCTTGCTTTTCCTTGATTGACATTGTTTCTGTCTCAGATGAAGTATAGGGAGCGGGTCCTGGGATTGATCCTTGTATCTCCACTATGCAGAACCCCTTCCTGGACCGAGTGGTTTTGTAATAAGGTTTGTTTTTCTCTTTTCCCTCTTTTACGTCTATTTCTTGTACATGGCCTAAAGGAATTTTTGCAATTTAAGGTTAAAATTTTTGCTAAACTGTAGGTGATGTCAAATTTGCTATATTACTATGGGATGTGTAGTCTGCTGAAGGAGTGCTTACTTTATCGGTTCTTCAGCAAGGTATCCTTGTATTCTGATCAATCAGTGAGACTTCCTCCATCTAGCCCTATGTTTTCTTTCCCTTTTCTCCCACTATCCTTCGACCTAAGGAAGTTAACTGAACTTGCATCAGGAAGTTCGTGGTAGTGCAGAAGTTCCAGAATCAGATATAGTCCAAGCTTGCCGAAGAGTTAGTCTTTATTCTTCTATTTCTGCATTTTTGCTTGAATCAGACATATTCATGTTATATCTGGCCAGATGCTTACTTATTGTGGTTTGTGTTTTTTTCTATATAAATTGTTTCCAGTTGCTAGATGAGAGGCAAAGCTTAAATGTCTTTCGATTTCTTCAAGCTATTAACAGGTAGAAGAAATTTGAGCATTTAATTGCATTTGGGCATTTGAACTTTGTTTTTGGATTGATGTTACAATTACATGCCTTGCCAATGAACAGGAGACCTGATATTACTGAAGGCTTAAAGACACTGAAATGTCGAACACTAATATTTGTCGGGGAGAATTCTCCTTTCTATGGTGAGGCTCTCCACATGACAGCCAGACTGGACAGAAGATACTGTGCTTTAGTTGAGGTATGCTGTGAATGACGTTGTCCTAAATGGCATGTTGTCATTGTACTTCATGTTGGACTCGTAGCTTTTCTGCAAATGAAGCCAAATAGAATAGGGTCCTGATCTTTTTTTTGGTTTCTAGGAAAGTTTCTTCACCATATTCCACTGTTCATATTAGTCAGACTTTAAGAGAGAAATGCACTAAAGATATTGAACTAGCAGTACTCAAGTCACCTGCCTTGAATTTTGTAAGGGTTTGTAGCACCTCTTAGAAAAATCCATCTTACAATGTCTCTATCAATTGCTGAGATCCGAATTCACTGTACAAGGCAATAATTATGAGATCTTGTGCCCAATCAGTTGGCTACTTATTATAGCATGATATGCAGGGGAGTTAATGTGGGATCAGTTTAGGGAGAAAATACAACACAATTGTCAAATGCTGATTTATTGGGACTTCTCCAGGTCCAGGCTTGTGGATCAATGGTGACAGAAGAGCAGCCTCATGCGATGTTGATACCCTTGGAGTACTTCTTAATGGGGTATGGAATGTACCGACCAAGCCAGTTTACTGGTAGCCCTCGGAGTCCTCTGAGCCCAACTTGCATATCACCGGAGCTTCTCTCTCCAGAAAGCATGGGATTGAAACTAAAACCAATCAAAACTCGGATTTGATATTGACTATCCTGAACAGACCAAGAAAATGTTGGATTCAAATTACATCTTGTATATGAATAATCGACGTTTTTTTTTTTTAATCTTTTTTGTAATTCTATTCAATTGTTTTGTTAATGGGGTAGATATGTTTGTAGATATAGACATAGGATGATGATGATATTCTTTAATGGATATAGACGGCGGAGATATGAATTCATTCATTTGTAGTTCAGTCATAAAAATTCTCTCGGAGTTGTAACTTCTTGAAAGAGACATTTTAATATATGATGAAAAGCGATCAATAATTGAGTTTGTGAGGTGCTGACCCTTCTGTGACACGTATTCTACTTGTCTGGTCTTTGTCATGCTTTCTCGGCGATCTACATTACCTCCCTAACAGCTTCCTGATGGAACTGTCAAATTCATGTTCGCCAAGGTGGTTCAAAGTGCTTGGTGGGCAGCCTGGACTGCCGCCACATGTAAGCCACTAACATAAATTAAAAGAAGGTTGGCGTCAGTCGTTTTCTCAACTGTTATATTGCATGGGACGAGGTGGTTCTGGGAAGATATGATGCAAGCGCCAACTGGGTGTTTGGTTTTGCGGACGTCTTGTATACCACCCTGGAGACGACGTTGTATTTCCATGTTGACTTGGACTCCTCAAGAGTAGACTCAAATCGCCCACCTGAAGTTGGACTAATACCCCATATTTTGGGCACTTTTTTATAAGAAATGAGCGTAGATAAATGCCTACTGTCTTTGTTATTTTTTTACTGAATATATAAGTTATCACATCAATATGGCAGAATACTATTCACATTTAAAATAATTATTGAAAATGGATAAATAGATCCACTTCAACACAATTATGGCACCACAATCATATAGTTTGCGGTTTTGTTATATGTGCTCCACGCAAAGTGTGTTTGAAATGTATAAATTATTTGAGATATTTTTATTGTAACACTTTTTCTGATATGATGTATGTGAGATAAAAAGATGATTGAAAAATATGTTGATGATGCAAGCAAATCAGTGTGTGTAAATAAGGTGTAAATAAAGTGAAATAATCTTCAATCCAAACACACAAATTGTTAATTACCTTAAAATTGCTTGTACTTTAGCTTTTAAAAAAACTTTTCTACCGAAACCACCTTTTATTTTGTGACCCATCTAAAAATAGACACAATAATGGTTTAGAGAAAAATGAAAATTCCAAATTTCAAGATAACACAAAAAGGGTTTTGGAGGAGAGGGATCGAAACCACTGGGTAAGCTTTTCGAAAAGATAATTAATCTAGTAATTGTCGAAACTTTAGGACTAAAAGTAGGGAAAAAATTTATAAAAAAAGGTTCAAAAAAAAACTATATGAAGGAAATAGGGAAAAAAGGAAAAGGGAAATTTTGGTCCAATAACAATGGTACTGATTTTGCGCATAGAAATCATTTAGTAAATGTATTGATAACCCAACAACACAGACCCAGAAAAGGAAAAATAGGAAAATCCAGCAGTCAAAGGCGGAGTTGGACTCTACCGCCATATTTGATATTTCAGGTACCATAGGCGCCCGGGAAAATTTGTTTATTTTTTTAATATTATTCTCGGGTCGCCGAAAAACCTCTGAAAATGGCTAGCGAGATCGTGATAATATTCGACTTCGACCGGACGCTGATAGACGACGATTCTGACAGATGGGTTATTAAAGGAATGGGTCTGACCCACTTGTTCAATCAGCTCCGACCCATTCTATCTTGGACATCTCTCATGGTTAGCAGTAGTAGTTATAGCAAATATCCGAGTGTGATCGCTCAATCATAATGCATAGGGTCCTCACTTGTTTAATGTCTTTGAGTATTCTATGGGTCGAAAACTTTGGATTGTGTTAATTGAGTTTTTTCTTTGGCGCATGAGATCGGTTTTAGTTGAGGATTAACTTTGATTTTTTGTGAATGTTATGATTTTTGGTTCTGTTTAGATGTAGCTCGTCTTTTTTTTTTTTTTTTTTTCTGATGGAAACAATTGTTCATCACAAGTTGGTCCTTCTGGGCTGGGATGTCATGCATATACTTGCATCTAAATTATTGAAGTTTGATTTAAACAGTTTAAGCATGTAATGCATGTCCATTTACTTACATTTGAGTAATTAAAGTTGGTTTGAACAGTTGAAGCATGTAATGCATGTTGAATTGTTTGGGAGATCGCTGGATCCAAAAATTGGCTATCGAAGCCCCTGAGCCTCAGGGATTTTCTTCGAAGTGTAGAAAGTTAGAAACATGAGGTAGATTCATATAAGTTAGTCGAATGTTTAATCAAGTGTCAAGGTCTAATATAACGTGATTCAAGTTTTTGCTCTTCATATAATGTTTCTGAAGATGAATATTCATTTTGTAACCATTTTGTATCCAACCATAATTGCACTGACAAAAAAAAAAGAGCAATGAAAGAAAAGAAAAACTGGGGGATTTAAACTATCTTGGGTATATAATCTTTATTTTTGGCTTCACGGCTGGAATTCTAGATTGAAGATTGATGAGCTGTAATTGGCACTTATGATACGGTCTTCTGTTTTCTAGGATAGGATGGTTAAGGAACTACACTCACAGGGAAGAACAGTAAAAGACATTGCTGAGTGTTTAAAAGGGGTTCCATTGCATCAACGTACTGCTGCAGCCATTAAATCTGCACATGCTTTGGGGTAAAGTTCTAGTGTGCCTTCATCTTGACTAACATATGTCATCTACTTTCGTTTATAAGAAACTAAAATTCTTGGTTGTGCTAATTTATTTCATGTTATGTCAGATGTGATCTAAAGGTGGTTAGTGATGCTAATAAGTTCTACATTGAGACTATATTAAAGCATCATGGACTGTATGACTGTTTCTCAGAGATCATCACAAACCCAACTCTGGTGGATGAACATGGAAGGCTTCAGATCTTCCCTTACAATGACTTGGCGTCACCTCATGGTTGCCATCTCTGCCCTTCCAACATGTGCAAGGTATTCTCATTTTTACATTTAAGCGACGCGCCACTTTGTTTTCTACTTACTTTACCATCTTAGTATAGACTTTCTCCTCAAGATTAAAGTGTCCCTCAAACAAGTTGCATTCGTCTGCTGTCATGATAGACGCCCAACATTTCTGATGTGATCTAAATAAACACTAGCGAAGGAGCAGAAAAACTGTCCCCCGTGCAAACTTTCTTACTGTTTTGAGCTGCTTTTGGTTCTTGATGTTCTCTCCATTTACTTCTGTTTTCCTTTTTTTCCCCCATTATTCATGACTTAGTAGATGATAAAGAGCAACTTGGATGACAGTTGTCAATCTGTCAAAACTCATGCACCTTTTGTGCATGGAGGCTTCCATATTTTGAAAATATTGCACCTTTTACTTTTCCTCTCGCCCACGATCTGTAATTCTTTGGGGCTAAAACAGCTTGCTATTTTCTTATTTACCTGATGGAATATATGTGTTTAAGAGAGCTAGCTTCAACTGTGCTTTCAATTTGGCTAACATTGGTATTTGCTTGGCAATACTTTGTTTCTGCAGTTGTATTTAGTTTTTGGGTATTTGACTGGACTTGAATGCTGATGTTTTACTACTTTCCATTTAGTTGCTTTTGATGATGAAAATGGTAAAATTGGCAGTAACAATTGAATTTTAAATTCTTTCAAGGGGAAAAAAGGCTCTCCAAGTACAAAGATGTATTGGTTGAAGTGCTTTATAATATGAAGACAAATGTTGTTTGATGCTTAGTCTTTCCTGAATTACTCTTACACAAGTCAATGGCAATGAGGCCTTCCGAGAGAATCTCGCGAGTCGTGAATATTGTGTAGAGATGTTTGTGATGGTGGTTACGCTTTGAACTCCTGACAATCATATCCTTTTTCTAGTTACCAGTCTGTTATTGTAGCAGTAATCCTGTTATCAGTGTTAATGAATTAAACTTTTTCAGCAAACTTTTCACGCAGGGTATTGTTATTAAGCGGATCCAAGCTTCAATTGCTCCGCATAGGGAGGCCAAATTCATATATCTTGGGGATGGAAACGGTGATTTCTGCCCAATTCTGAAGCTTGGTAAAGGAGACCGCGCGTTGCCTCGAAAGCATTATCCTTTATGGGAACTTATCAGGAGCAATCAAGAGTTTGTTGAAGCAGAAGTTCATGAATGGTGCAATGGTGAAGAACTTGAGCACATCCTTCTTGCACTGATTGACAGAATCTCTGGTGAAGACATCAAAAAGGCACCGGTGGATGAAAGTCGTTAGCATGGTATAAATGGATTATGCCAGTGACTACTGCACAAGCCCATAAATCCATAATCAACTTTTGCGCTGTCGTCTATCTCTCAACTTGGTGCTAATTACCATTCTGGAGGGGTCCCGGCCTTATTGCATCAAATTTGATCTTCTGTGCTAGTTTGCTGTAGTAGAATGACCTAAATATCCATTAACTCTTTCTTCTGAGATCGGATACCATTTAGAGAAACAAAGAGGAGAATCTTTACAACCCAATCAAGTAAAAGGGTGAGAATAAGTTCCTCTTTGCAATGCAAACTCAAATTTGCCCAGAATCTGCTATCAACTTATCTTCTTGAAGAAGAAAACGAAGAACAAAACACCTGTTAAGATTTTATATTTACGCCTTTCAAAGCTAGACAGATGATAAACGATTGTACGCAAGGGATAGGACTATCATGAATGAATGAGATTCCTTTGTGATGTGAAGAGTAGGGAAAATCGTTCAAAATATCTCTCATATTTTGTAAAATAATTTTTTTCATCTTTCACTTTTAAAAGTGTAATTTTACGTCCTTTAAAATTCATATTGATCAAATTTGGTTCCTATTTAAGTTTTCAACTAGTTTTTTGTCGGAATTCACCACGTACCTTGCACGTGATCATTTTTTAAGAGCAAAATTTTCAAATCAAATTTTACATATTTCGATTCATAGTTTCTCACATTTTTTATGAATTTTTTTATTCCTAACATTTTACAAAATAAATTATTTTGTCCGTCACATTTCACAAAATGAATTTTTTCATTCCTTACATTTTTCAAAATGAATTTTTTCATCCCTCAATGATTATATGAACAAATACTGTTTTTTTCTTAAACCCATGTATATATCTATTTGATTTCACCTGAATAGTATGAATATCATGTAATATATCTCTATTTAATTTCATCAAAACAGGTTAATCGTAGTTGTACACATGCTATTCAATAAATATATATAGTGGTTTAAAACTAATAATTTTGGTTTAAACCCATATATGATTTCACCATGTGAACCTATTCAATATTTGTGACTTTTCTTTTTTGGTAATAATTTATTTATTAAGTTGTATAATAATGTCATCTATTTAATGGGTCCTAACTCGAATTTTATGATCGTGCTAACAAATTACAGTTTAAATTTGAAATTTTTACTCACCACTTTTAACAGTTGAATTACTTGTCTTCTAATTGTTTTAAAATTTGAAAGTGCCAATCACTTACTTCTTTTTGTCATACTTTTCCTTTGTTTATTTTTTCTATCCAAATTTAATTCGATATAAACACTTGATAGTGTTTAGAATTAAATATCTTCTTTGTTTTCAATTTTAAAGTAAAAGGAAATGAATATGAGTGAAAAACTAACAATTTTTTTAAACTCATGTATATATCTATTGGATTTTACTGGAGTAATACAAATAACATCTAATATATCTCTATTTGATTTCGCCTAACGAAATCAAATAGAGATATATTATATACTATTTATACTGTTCATGTGAAATCAAATAAATATATACATAGATTTAAAAAAAAAAAAAAACTATTCGCACATATGATCAATGAGGGGTGAAAAAATCTATTTTGAAAAATGTGAAGGATGAACAAATTTATTTTATGAAATGTGAGGGACCAAAAAATTCATTTTGTGAAATGTGAGTAATTATAAATTAAATTATATAAAATTTGACTTAATAATTTTGCCTTAAAAATGATCACGTGCAAGGCACGTGATCGATTCCGGCTAAAAATTAGTCGAAATTTTAGGTAGGGATCAAATTTAATCAATGTAAATTTATAAAGAATATAAAATTACACTTTTAAAAGTGAGGAACTAAAAAGTTATTTTATAAGATGGGATGGATATTTTGAACAATTTTCGAGAAGAATATTGTACACGTTTCTCAGTGCATGGCTTTAATTACAGAAATGAACGCTCGTCATGTGAATTACTTTCACCCTTCAACATCAGCCGGTATTGTGTATACTGTAAATTTCGACTCGAGAACTTTTTAAGGTTTGAACTTTTGAAGTCTCTTTTTTTAACCCCAAAAATAAAAGAAAAATTGTAAATATCAAAACTTGTTTTCATGCGATGCATTTACCGTGTAGAGAACTCTGCTATTTTAGTAAATCATATTTGACAGCAACATTTCCTTTAAATAAAACTTTTTGGGTCGATCTTAATCGTAAATTGCTTGAACGATTCAACAATGGTCCTCCAGTCTGCCAACTTAGAGAACGGTGGAAGAATTTTCATCTTTTGCTGCTTCTGGCGGACTGCATACATAGTTTGGAATCTACCTAACAGAAACGTATGGGTTGTCAGAGTCTGACTTGTCCAGAGTCCACACCCCATTATTATAAAAGAAAAAATAAAAAACCAAAAGTACCGAATGAAATGTCAAAACCCGTCTAGAAAATCCCACATGTGTTTTATCATTCTGTGATTCCACCAACAAATAGCACCACAACCTTCGAGATTGTGTAAGAAGACGACGTTTTCGATTTTTCTTTGTCTTCCATTTCGTACTAATGCAGGTAGCATAACAAATAGAGAGATCCCCATCCCTTCTCTTTTTTTTTCCTAGAAGGGGTCTCGTCTCCTTGATTTTCTGCTGTAAAATACAATGGAAAAGAAGAGAGAGGAAAGAGACGGGGCTATGACTATGAACTGGGATGGGGTTATCGAGGGCATGCCTTTGTTTGCAAAAGAGTTGATTGCTGGGGGTGTGGCTGGCGGCATTGCCAAGACTGCTGTTGCCCCTCTTGAACGTATAAAGATCTTGTTTCAGGTACTCTTGGGTTTGATATAATTTGGGAAATTGCTTATTCAAGTTGACTTTAGATAATAATTCTGTCAGCATGGGTCTTCTTTGGCGTCCCTCTTATTCTCTTGATCGTTTTTGGATTCAAGTGCTTGATGGAGGCTGCGAATATGTAATGATGATTAATTTAATTTATTGAGTCCAAAAAACTGATTGTTCGTAACCTTTCTGGGATTTGCATAAAAATGTGGCAGTTAGATTCAGCTTCTCCTGAATTTGGCTCCTTTTTTGGGTGATCTTAGAATTGATAAAGTAGCTTGTGAATCCCTATTCTTTGACTTTCTTGCTGATTTGGGCTGCTAGGGAATGTTTTACAAAGTTGGTTTGATCACATTGTTTATAAATTAAGCAAACATAATCTGCAGTTCCACTGACAAAGATTAATCTCTTAGTTTGTTGTCTGGTAGAAGGTGACCTTATGCATTAATCTGATACTTCAATAGAAAATCATCCAACGCTTCTTGGGATTGTTTCTCACTTAACCTCAAAATTAAAAGTTGTGTCTGTGGGGTTTTGGTAGTTACTACCTATATGGTACGAGATGCTGTTTATAGTCTGGACAAATTGGGAGTACATCATGTGTCAACAAGAACTGGATTTTGAAGTAAAAGAAAATTGCAAAAAATCCAAAAAAAATGAAAAAAAATCCAATTTTGAGTCCTTATGAATATGATAGTGGCATGCATCCCTTGTATACCCTATGGTGGGAAGTCGAACAAAAAATACACTAATTATGCAGATGGGATTAGTTCTGCTGCTTGAACTTGCAATGGTTGACTGGAATTTAAGCCACCTATCATTAGCAGATTATTCGGCTGATTGGTCAAGAAGTAGTTGTTGGTTTTCTGCCTAATTCTGCGTCATCCTAGTTTAGAGGTCTCAGTTTTTTGTTTGTAGACTGTGTATGATTATAACCTAGCTTTTCCTTTTTGCTGTTAAGGATTTCAGTATCCTTTGCCTCTCTTCATGGTGCTGAAACAAGGCTCGAGACCAACTGAACGCATAGAAAACAGAAATATTTAAGCAACTTCAAAGTAACTCTATACAGTGAAGCAATCTTGAAGGGCTAGTCTTGCAATCAAGCATGAACTGATTGAGAAGTATATTAATAATTTATGGAGAGAGAGACAGGAATTGAACTGTTATTTTGTTGTTTATTTATTTTTCCTAGACCAGACGAGCTGAATTTCAGAGCATAGGGCTCCTCGGATCATTCTCAAAAATAGCAAAAACAGAAGGATTGCTGGGCTTTTACAGGTGAAACTGTCCTCCTTTTATTATATAGTTCTTTTTATCACAATTACCTTTGATCTTATTTATGGGTTATCTGTCATTTACGTTTAGGGGTAATGGAGCTAGTGTTGCTCGCATTGTGCCCTATGCGGCACTGCACTACATGACCTATGAGGAATACAGGCGGTGGATCATTCTTGGTATACCTGGCATCACTAGAGGTCCTGTTCTGGATCTCATTGCGGGATCCTTTGCTGGGGCAACTGCTGTGCTTTGCACTTACCCACTTGATTTAGTCAGGACAAAATTAGCTTATCAGGTATGACTGAGAATGGCTGAGCATTTGACTTAATTCTCTCTTTCCGGAGCACATTTGCACTTCGAACTGACTTTTTATTAGTATCATCTTAAATACTTTGGGAAGTGTCTTGGCTAATTTAAATGATCTTTAGCTTCATTTCATACTTTGTGAAACATATGACTGATTTCTCTCGAGTAGTAAAGGTTGTTGGATCACCAAAGTTGAATGTGAAAGGGCTTCTTCCCAATGAACAAGTTTATAAAGGGGTTCTGGATTGCTTCTCCAAGACTTACAAGGAAGCTGGAGTTAGAGGCCTTTATCGAGGTGTTGGTAAGTTGCAGTAGTGCTGATTTTCTGTCTATGTAGAATTCGGCAAACTTCTTTATTTGTCAATATTTTTGGCAGCTCCATCCCTTTATGGGATTTTCCCTTATGCTGGTCTGAAATTCTACTTCTATGAGGAAATGAAAAGTCATGTCCCTGAAGACCACAAAAAAGATATTATGGTAAAACTTGCTTGCGGATCTGTAGCAGGTTTACTGGGTCAGACTTTTACTTATCCTCTTGACGTTGTTAGGAGGCAGATGCAGGTATGAATGGAATAAGATTATGCCTTTGTTTTTTGGACTCCCTCTTTGAGTGGTTCAAAGAAAATATAAACTGCATTGGCAGGTCCAGCGACTTTCAGCATCTAACAGAACTGATATGAAAAGTACCATAGACACACTTGTTATGATTGTTCAAAGGCATGGTTGGAAACAACTATTTTCGGGGCTTAGCCTAAACTACCTAAAGGTAAGGTTGCATTCTTTTGTACCTCACTGGTTTAGTTCTTTTGTTCTTTCCATCTGTTACAGATCATAATTAGTGCACCTCTTCTAACTTCAGGTTGTACCATCTGTTGCAATTGGATTTACTGTATATGATGTCATGAAATCATTTCTGCGGGTACCATCACGAGATGAAGCTGTTGTAGAAGTCACAACCAACCGAAGAAATAGCCAGCCGTCGTCTCTGCCCTCTTAATTTGTACTGTATCTAGACTCCACTATAGGCATTTCTAATTCATCCAATTCTTCTTAAATGAGCGCTACAACATCGCCTTCTATAATTGTTGAAGGCTGGCCTGGTTATCTCTCGGTAACTTGGATTACTTCCCACCATTCTTTCAAGGTACTGTGCATAAATGCCTAGATGAAACTACTGCTGGTTCCTCGTTGTATTAGATGAGAGGAGCTTAGCGGTTTGTACAGAATAAAAGTGCAGAATCATTGGACTACTTATTATCCTATAAATTGTCTAGTTTCATTCGCCTCTACAGCACTACTTTTGAGTGCACAACTTCAGTTGTAGATGAAAAAGATATATGACTATTTTCTACCAAATTTTAAGGGTGGAACTGCAGGGTCTGTCCCTATTTTCCCTCTTTTGGTCTTTAGATTAGTTTAGAACTGCCTCTTTGGCACTGAACTCGTGAGAATATCAGTCTTGCCCTTCAGTAATGTTCCTCGAGGCAAATTTATCAGTTCGTCTGTCATCACCTGCTTCAATCAAAGTTTTCAATCCTCTCAGGCAACAATATGTCCAATAATTGGACCTTAACTACTTCAGCTGCATGCTGGTTGATCCAATGAGAAAAAAGAAACATGCTGAAACACATAACCTTCCGGTAAAATAATCTTCTTTCCAGATCAAAAATAGTTGAATTTCACAGGTTTCAGTGTACATAATCTGGATTCTGAACATTCAGAACTTCTAAATCTGTAATGTTTGAGCATGTTAAATATGCTACTAGCGAGTTTGAGCGTGTTTAGGGATATTTGATTCACCAATAATCCCCGCAAGAACATTTACCATCTCTGAAATGATGAAACCGCTTATTATCCCTAACAATCAGCTCTCTGCCAACAATCTTCGACATGATCTTTATTGCATTATGACAATCCCCACATATCCTGAGATTCTTAATGATCCTAAGAGTTGTCCTTGCTGGAGTACTAATCAAACCGTATGCAATAGCCAAACGTTCACTGTGATACATCAGAGCCTGCTCCTTGGCCTCCTCATCAATGTCATGAAGCACATACCGTGTATCTGGCACGTACCCTGCATCCCTCATCTGCCCATTCAACCCTTTGAATTTCTCATTTGGACCTTCCCCGTATAGACTGGTGCTCCTTAACTCACTAACTTTGATCTTGCCCTCAAGCTTATTGAACTCGCAATTTCTCTTTGCCAATGGAGTAGGCACTTTATCAGCTGTAGCTTTGGAGGAATCAAGCTCGACCAATAGCTCCTCAGCTCGATCCTCAAGGTCAATATCTCCATGTACTCTGGCGAAACTCAAAACAGCTTCCCAAACTTCAATGGTCGGCTCAAAAGGCATATCCTCAATGAACTCCAAAGCTTCAACCAAGTGTCCAGCTTGACCCAAAACATCAATAACACCCAAGTAATGCTCAAATCCTGGCAGAATTCTATATTCATTTTGCATCATCTCAAAATAAAAGCAGCCTTCTCTCACTGCTCCTTCACAAGCACAAGCTGATAAAACAGATAGAAACGTCTCCGCATTAGGTTCCAATGCTCCAATTTTCCTCATTCTTTCAAACAAAAGCAACCCATTATTCCCCTCCCCAGTTTTGGCATAGCCATTGATCATCAGATGCCATAATTCCAAACTTCTATCGCCCAATCTATCAAACACTTTGCGGGCGCCGTTCATGTTCCCACATTTCACGTACATCTCCACCAGCTTAATATTCAACTCAACGTTTCTTCTAAACGGTGACTTCATCATAAGCTCATGTACATTTTTACCAAGCTCAAGTGACTCAGAACTACCGCAAGAACTGATCAAAGCCTCGAAAACAAAATAATTCGCCTCGGCACCTTGCTTAATGCAGTCAATAGCTTCTTCAATGTTGCCTTCATTACATAATGACATTAAATCAGCATCTGATGGTGGAGGGGTCTGATAGTTTTGAGTTGATGGGCTGGTTTCATTTACATTGGTAGTGGTCCTCTGGTAGTTGTTTTTGAGGAGTTGGGATGATTGGGGATGTGGGCTGTGATGAGGTCTGTGTCTGGGTTTAGTGGGGCGCTTTGGGGCGGTAGAAGTGCAGAGAGTTTTTAGCGGGGAGGTTCTGTAAGTGGAGTCTTTGAGAGGGAGATGAGACGGGGGTGGCGGAAGGGAAAGGTTCAAGCGGCTAGGAGAAGGAAAAGAGTTGCTTGATGTGTGGATGGAAGAGAGGGAAGCCATTGATGGAGAGAACGGATAACTAATTGATATATATATAATTTCCTTTCAGAGTAATTAATCGGTCAATGAATATTTGGATTTTATTTATTTTTGCATCTAATTCTCATCCAATTAATTTTAATTTTTTCTCTCTTTTAATAAGTTCATAGTATTATTCTTTTTGGATTTAATTTTTTTATTTATATACGATAACTTTGTTTAGTGTGACTTTAATTGTTATATTGATAAATTTATTAACTTTGATAGAAAGTAATAAATCATTTATGTAAAAGTCGACTATTGCTTTTCTTATTTTTTGTCTTGAACTGAAAATGAATATGAGTAGATGTATAATCATATTCATGAGAAAATTTAAATATTATCTCAAAGAATACCTATTATTTTTTTATGCGTTACACTATTTAGTGAATATTATCACATTGTGATAAATTTATGTATAAAAGTTTTCAAAGACTGATATAGTTGTTAAATGTTTGGACTACAATAGTTTTCTGATAAATATGAATAATATGTAAAAAAACATTGTTGATAAATTATTTATTATGCATTATACTGTTTAGTAAATATTATCACATTGTGATAAATTTACATATAAAAGTTTTCAAAGACTAACATAGTAGTTAAATGTTTGGAATATAATAGTTTTCTAATATAAATATGAATAGTATGTAAAAAAAAAAAAACATTGTTGATAAATTTTTTTATGCTTTTTCCCCCCCTTTTTTTTTCTAAGTATAAGTAAAAGAATTGAAATTCGAAACTTCTTATTTACACCCATTTCCCTCATTTATGCCTGGCATCAATTCATAACTGGTCATGATAAAAAAATATTCCATGTTAATGCACAGGCTAAATACTAGTAGTTGTGAACATCGTTATCATTGCGTGATTGTGCAAAATAGTTGATTAATTTATAAACGCGCCTCTGCTTTAAACCAAAAAAAAAAAAAGATGATTTAAACAAACGTGATTTCCTAATATTTTAATGAAAAAACAAAGAGATAAATACCCACAAAAAATGAATAAGAAGAATAGTGATTATTCATTTAATGTAAAAGCAACATAGTTAATATTTTTTTCCCTAATAGGGAGGGATAGGATTTAAAAAAGTAGGAAGGGGGTGGAGGATTTGGATGCAAAACTTTTTATTGTTGGGATCTCATTCTTAGCTATTAGATCAAGATTTTCTCTACAACATAATTGTCTGTTTTCTCTATACAAACCGTAAAAAAAGAATGAGTAAAATAAAAAAAATGTGATTGTTTATTTGATTCCAAAATAATTAAAAAAAAAAGAATACATTAAAAAAAGTGGGTTATATGTAATCTTATCGGAAAAATTTCATTCTTTTACTAATTGAAAATAAGGTACAAAAAAAAATCTGTAATCAGATCCAAATTGGCCCGCTCCACAGGACTCTAGCCCAGTATCCCAGTCAGCCCAACTGCCTTTCGTTGCGATCCCGTGTAGCTAAAAATATGGTGCTCAATTAATTGCACGTAGCCCAATGGGAGAAGAGGTTGGTATATTGACAATTTATTCAATTCTCAGTGTTTCTCCTTATTCTTTATCATAATTTCATGGTTTTTATGTTTGAGGCATTTTTTTCTTAAAATGGTTTGTCTGGCTTTCTTTCTAAACTTGCTCTATTTTTTGGTTTTTAGTAAATACTAGTAAGAAAATAGAAAAATAAAGTAAAAACAAGGCACAATTTGAAGGGAATCTTTTCAGTTTTCTCTGTAAATCGAACTAGATTGCTTTCCAACCATTTTCTTTATCTAACCCATGTTTCTGTCACTCCTTCCCCTTTTTTTTTTTTTTTTTTTTGAAAATAGGCAATTCCACTTTCTTTTTTTAAAAAAATTGTAAACCATTTCCAATTCATGATGTGGTGCAAAATCCATACTCCTATTTCATCAATTCGAGCAAAATCTTTTCTATCCACTCTAAAACAGATACTACAATAATGGCAATAGTAAAACACTTTTCCTCCCTTTTCCGAAGTCCATGAAGTAAAATGTAGAAATGTAAAGAAATCAATTTTTAGGACATGTAAAGATATCATCCACCACAAAGCAGGCAAGCAGGCCTCATCATCTATTGCAGTAGCAAATCAAAGAAACAAAACAGAAAATTATTACTGAATCTTTGTTTTATAGTAACTATTCATATTCTCCTTCCCTTTGATTAAATTGTCCGGTTTGCAAAGAGCCCTTTTTTTAAGTTTCTTTCAGGATTCTCTCAGTTATTTGTGGTGGTTTCTACTGTTTACATGAATTTACTTGCAACCATTTGACTTTGTGCAATATTTGGCTTTGAAATTTTTGATTTCTTTTATAGTAGAAGACTTGGGAAATTCTTGAGACTGTGTTTTCAAGAATTGTGAAGACCCTTTTAAATTTACTTGAAATAAAGTGTACCCAACTGGAAAAAGATGGGGACTTTGTTGAAGACACCTAACAAGCTTGAATTCGTTTCTCCCTTGTGTGGTTTTGATCATAAGGTCAGTGCCTTGAGCTCTTTGGGGCATCTGATTAGTCAACTATTTAGGAAGTTTGGTTATAAGAAATCTTGCTTCAATGGGGGCAGTGGTAGAACTTGTAGGATTAAAAGGCTAGTTGAAGACATAAAACTGATCATTTGAACAAAATATCTGCTTTAACGGCGTCGTTTTCCATGGACCTTTGGATTCAGATCGCGTTCTTTGTACCCTGAATTTGCAGTTGAGAATCCAGCAGTAAACTGGCCCCCTGAATTTAGCAGTTGAAAATCTAGCATATGGCTAGAGGGAAGTGACTTCACCGCACGATTCAACCTTGCTCTCGCTTTTAATGCATCAAACTCATATATCATTTTCTTCTGTCAACTTCTTGGTGTTTACAGATTACAAAGCCGAGAAAGCTGATCAATGAGTTCACCTTATTACAGGGGGCCAAAATTTGATAAGATGTCCTGCTCAAATGCCCTAAAGACCTTCATGGGATCAAAGTCTTGCACCAAGACATGCATATCGTCTAAAGATACATGTGGTTACCTATTTAGGACTCTACCAGACTATCACTTCAGCCTACTAGCTTCATCTAGTACATCTCAGAAAACTGTAGGAATACTCCTATAAACAGATGGTAACACCATCTTCAAGATACAGAAAAACTCAATGTTTTGGATGCTATGTTACAATAACACGGGCATCAAATGACATAATCAGACCATTCAGAAATAAATGAAGTATGATCCATGGACTCCCCAGGCACTTCATCATGCCTTCTTGGCTGATCCTTCCCTCCCACCAGCCTTGCTGGGTTCCCAACCACCGTCGTCTTCGGTGGCACGTCTATCAAGACTACAGACCCAGCACCAATTTTGGCTCCCTTTCCAATCTTCACATTGCCTAATATTGTTGCTCCAGCACCAATGAGAACTCCATCTCCAATCTTCGGATGGCGATCGCCACCAGCCTTGCCGGTGCCCCCTAGGGTTACATGGTGAAGAATTGACACATTGTTCCCAATCACTGCTGTCTCACCAACTACCACTCCGGTTGCATGGTCAAAAAGGATGCCTTTGCCAATTTCAGCTGCCGGGTGAATGTCAACAGCAAAGACATCAGAAATTCGGGATTGGAGAGCCAGAGCAAGTGGCCTTCGAGATTCAGTCCAGAGCTTGTGAGCTATTCGGTGGGCCTGACACACAAACAATTTATTCTTCATTATACATAAATCAACAAAATCATTAAGGAAGGAATCTTCTAACCTCAAAGAATGGCAATTCTGATTTAACAAGTTCATTTCCTGATAATGAAACGTTACGTGTTAAATACTGACATCAATCACGGCTACATACCATAACATGACATACATGTACTCGTGAAAATCCTAGTGCAACCTCATTTCTCCAGAAGCACTATGAGCTCCTCTGACGAGTGAAATACCAATCCTCAGGATCACTTTAAGCTCCACCATCAGGTACCAAGTTTACGCAAAATGCAAATAGCCATGCAAGTTTATGTTGTTTATTGTACTCAGGACAGAAAGCCTCGAAGCTCAAAACTTCCCACAACATCCATCATTCCTACGGAAAACACTAACATATCTCGCTGCCTTTCCAAATCGAATAACATACTCGCAACCTAACATTGATTCACCATGTTACTCATTTTGCATTACTTTATAAATCTACACAAAAGAATTCGGAAGGGCAACAAATCAACTTAAATTTTTTTTTTGTTTTTTCCAGCAAACGAACAAATCAACTTAATTGAGAGGCTAAAATTAGCTTTAAAATGTTCTCACAACTTTAAGATGTCTGTCTTTTCCTAGTCACATACTTGATACAGGAGGAGCAAGATCTATTTTACACATCGGGGTTGGCGTTTGCTGCGCTGCGCAAACTTCCTCCAGACATGGAATTGAACTTGAAATGAGGTACATCAAGAACGCTCGTACCAATTATTACTCAAACACAGAATCAAGTAAGCTGAATGAAGATTTATAAAAAAATAAAAAAATAAAAAAATCATGTGAAGTAACTCATTCTAATTCCATCAGCTATAGGCTATGTTTTGGAGAAGCCAACGGAGCTTTTCCCATCAATTAATATATATATATCTAAAAATGAATAAAGCTAAAACTTGGATCCTTTTGAAGAGCTCTAGCTGTAACAAAAGATACGTAACAAAATTGCCAAAGAATAAAAAAAAATTCACCTGGCAAGCGAGGAACCCTTTATAGTTAAGGAGGCAATGAGAGAAGGAGACGCAAGCAGGGTCCCTGTAGCGGGCAGCGATGAGGTCAGCGACGGTGGCTGACCGGAGATTAGGGTCTCTGGAGAAGGAATTAAGGAAGAGGTCATAGAGGAGAGTGGAGAGAAGAGTGGAAGAACAGAGCTTATTTCCCAAGTGGAAGGATAAAGAACGTTCTAAAGACGGGTGAGAAAGAATTGTGGAGTACAAATAGCTGGCCAAAGCCGGTTCGGTTTCAGCATCGCGCCGAGCCTCGGCTTTGATCTGGATCCACACCCAGGCTTCGCCGCCGTCGTTTGCTAAGTCTATGGGCGACAGCATCTGCTGGGTTTGTGTTGGTGAAGAACCGGAACGCAGTTCTTCCCCGGGCATTAGGGTGGCGGCGTCGTTTCTCTTCTTCTTTCTTTTTCTGTTTGTTTCTCCCTGTCCCCCCCTTTTTTTTTAAGTCGGTATATAAAGTAGATATCATATCGGCAGAGGAGCAACTCTCTATTTCTACTTCTATTTCTGTGGGTGAAGATATCTGCACCTCTATTTCTGTGTGCGTACGTAATGCTACTACTAGATTAGATGGCTGACGTTTACGGGAGTGCCACGTGGAATTGCTTTTGACCTTGAGTTGTGCTTAAATCGGACATAAAGATCACCTCCAATGATGGGATTTGGCGGCGCCTCTGAAGGATTAGATTAGGGGCAGAGTTAACTAACGACAAATCAACTATGGCATGCGGGCCAAAATTCACCAGTTATTATATGCAGATTTGGCCAGTTAAGGTTTTGTTCACTTCCGTCCAACTGTATAAGTTTTACTAATACAAAGACTATTGCTTAGTTGATTTGGGCAGCGCCAGGTTGCCCGGATATGGCAATTGATATGTGCCCGGATATTGCTGCAGTTGAATACGTTAAAAGGAAGAAATAGAAGAAGAGATTGTCCGGACTAGCAGTAAAATGTTATATTTACACGTACATAAGAGTCTTTCCACAGATGTTTTTTTAATTACACTAATTGCTTGCATTGATGGAGTTTTATGATTTCTAGTAGAGACTTCTAAGTAGGCTGGTAGCGTGTTTGTAGCAGCTGATAGCCTTGACAAAAAGAGGGAGGTCTCTCTCTGCTACTTGCATTCTTTGGTCTACAAAGGTTGGTCATGACAGTAGGCAGGCTTTTGAAGCTGGTGACGAAGGGAGCATTCACCCCAGTTTTGCATGCTTTGGCGGATTGTTGCTGCTTGCAGGTTCCTTTCACTTTGTACTGCTCTTAGCTGGCTCTGTGCTGTGTTTTTTGGGAGCGGGATAAGCTTGAGTTGAAGTTGGAATAGAGATTGAGGCAGAAATAGTTTCAGCTGCAGATTTGCTTGCAGGCAATTGATGTTTACTGAGATTCTGAAGCCGCTTGTACTGCCAAGGCTTGGATTTTGTTATGATGAAGCTCCATTGTCATTTGGTGGTAGTAGCAGGATTGACCCCAGTTGGCAAGCAAGCTGATATGTCGTAAATCTGCAGAATGTTACAAGCATTCTGATCTTAATTGTTGCAGTAAACATTCATAATGGAACAGCCATGAAGCCTAAATTATACCAGAGTGCTTCATTTGGTATACATTTATTTGGTTTTAGATGCTTCTGTCGCATGAAAAATTGTTCAACCTTCTAGAAGAGTTGCAAGTATTTTATGCTGTTGGTCGGTCCATTGGAGTCTTGTGTGTTGAAGAACTGGAATCCCTCCTAGTATGGCTATGGTCCTATGGATTATTTAAATTAGCAAAGAGGATGTGCATCAAAGGAATGTTAATTCAGTGGGCATGGACAAAAGGTACAGGTTTGGTAACACCACAGTCGCTATCGATCAAAAGAAGGAACAAAGACAATGAGATCCTGTACCTTTTTTTCTTTAGCTAACAGGTAAGAGTCTGATGTTCATTATCAACTGACACGAGTAAATGGTTAGAGCATTCTGGCTGATGCAAGAAGAACAGATATTCCAACGTTAGCAGAGCTACAAAGCCATTTTTCTTTAGACAAACAAATCTAAAAGCTACAAAGCGATGCTAAGCAGGCTGGTTAGGCCAATCAACAGATCAACAAGGGATTTACCACTCCCACTCTAGCTAAGATGCTATGATCGTTATTTTATATGGACAGATGCAAGTTACACTACGTCTATATTATACAAACACTTGAACAATGCAGGTTCTGCTCTGCTTAACATTTTTCAGGATGCAGAATATGCATGAAGTGTCATAAGACACTAATATTCAGCATTTTATCGGGATGAAAAAGACACAATACTTCTATTATCATACAGCACTTGTTTCTGAACTTAGGTCCGCTAGCCTCCGTGCTGCCAACATCTACCACCAGCTGTTGACCTGCTGCAGGAAGAACCACTGCGCGTGGGTGCACCACAAGTTGACGAAAAATTTCCATATGCAGAACCATAAGAGGCATAACTGTAAGAGTTAGCATAACCTTCGTGCTGCCAACATCTACCGCCAGCTGTTGACCTTCTGCAATAAGAACCACTGAGCGTGGGTGCACCACAAGTTGATGAAAAAGTTTCATATGCGGAACCATGAGATGCATAACTGAAAGAGTTAGCATAATACCTGAAGTCATTACTATTTCTGGGACTTAAATCAGCCCTCCTGCCTTTGTGCTGCGAACATCTTTTATTCCCGTTAGTAGGTTTCCTGCTACAATGTGAACCATTCTGTAATGCTGCCCCACAAGTTGATGTAAAGTCCTCAGAGGCATACTGAAGAGAAGTACTACTTCGCCTTGAGTTATTACAAGAGCTACTTGTTGGACTTGCATCAACTCTCATGCCTTTATGCTGCCAGCATCTTTTATTTCCTTCTGTAGGTTTTCTACTGCAGAATGAACCATCATGTGTTGCTGCCCCACATGCTGGAGAAGTTATATCACAAAAAACTGAAGGAATAAGTGAATGATTCTGGCTCTCCTGTATCCCAATTTTGGGACCTGAATGTATAAACGAGCTGGGGATTTCATCTCTATGGGAAATACTAATGGTCTCTTTGATCCTCTTGCCCTTGTGCTCCTCGCACCTCTTTCTAGCCGCCGGAGGTTGCCTGGTGCAAAAAGTCCCATCGTCTAGGTCCACTCCACATATAGTTGAGCTAGAATCAGTGTGGCCAGCTTTACTGAGGGATGTATTATAGTCCAGAACTGGACCGTACACATAATTTGCTTTCTTATCATTTACTAGCTGAGGGAAATTATTGATTTTCCTTCCCTTATGCTCCAGGCATCTCTTGTTTCCTTGGACTGGTTTGCTTGTACAGCAAGAGCCATCATCCAAAATGACTCCACAAGGTGGGGTGAATGTCTTGTTTATAGGATACTCATTTGCAACCAAAGTTGATTTTCCATCTTTAAGTAACTTAGATGTGAAACCATTTACTTTCATGCCTTTATGCTCTGAACACCTTTTGTTCCCTTCAGCTGGTGCCCTTTTACAGACGACTCCATGACCTAAAGCGACACCACAGATGCTAATGTAATTTTCGTTGATAACAGATCTGACAATCAATCTTGGCTGTGATCGTCCAAATTTGAAAATTTGAGCGAGGAGGCCATTAGTTTCCAAGCTAGTGTAAAAGTCCAATCCATTCTCCACAAAAGGTGGTTTGTAAGCTTTGATTTTTATTCCCTTCTTCTTTTGAGATAAAACCTGTAGCTTTGCCATAAAGGGAGAAGTTTTAGAGATGCGATCAAGCATTTTGAGTATATCATTGTGTCGGCGAGGACCATTACTTCCCTTATTCCATGCGTAATCAAACTTGCCAAGCAGATCAGATTCAGTTTTATCAGCATCCCTTGTACTCTTCATCTGTTCAAAACCAAAACACAGGTAAAAATTTCTCATCGGGATCCAGAAAATGTTTATGTCACATGAGCAGATGTACACTTTTGAAGAGAGAAAGAACTAAATCGATGTTAAACAAAGGTTCAAGTAAATCACTACGAGAACTCCTCAATATTAACTTAGTCGTTGAAAGAGTAACATGCTGCATCTGAACTTCAAAAGGTTTGTTTTAACCATGTTAATGATCCAACATTATTGACTTGGTAGAGAAAGAAAGAGGGTTTTTCAAACGAATCACAAAATGCTGTGGTTCTTAAATAAAATTTCTGAATTTATTCTGAAGTAATTCACGAGATCACGTACCTTTCCTTTGCCTTGCCTGTTTCTTTAAGTTACTAGGGTCATTCATTATCCAAATAGTGAATGGAGTGACCCAATCATTTCTATTATCTTTTGTTGGTTAGTTTCTAAAGCAGAGAAATTTTAAACTGACTACATAAGCAATTAAATGACTATTTAAAAAAAAAAAAAAAAAAAAAACTCACAGGAGCCCATCTGTAGACAATGGAGAACCCTTCAGAAAATATGTCCTTGAACAATCCAGATCCCGTTTGAGCCAACCTTCCGTTGCAACCATTCAACTTAGTGTTGGAGCTGCCATTCTCCAAATGAGCCCCTTCGCGCCCATACTGCTGTAGTCTATTCCTAACGTTGTCAGATTTTCCAAGGTAAACAGGAATTATAAAGTCCGGATCAAGTTTGCCAGCATCTCGCCGAGATTTACTACGCCATACAGCTGTGCCAAGCTCATAAACTCCAGTACAGGAAGTGCAATTTGGGAGGTTCTGCGTCCTGTATCTTTCAGCCCCTTCCTTCCCATTTGAATGGTCTTCCCAATCAGAGGGTCCAATTAGAACCTGGACATAAATCACATAGAACCCATCATGCATTCAATATTAAACTTAAAAAGCATAAGCCAATTATAAATCCACGTCTGACAATCAACGGCAGACCACAAATTCTTGGTTAAAATGATCCCAGACTCCTCATTTGATACAATTGGCAGCTATTATAAAGGATGAATCCAGTACACAATGCATATGATATTCCTTGTTTCTTTAAGATCAATGATCAAACATATTCTCATATTAACATCAATCATCGAAGAGTTAAAGCAATTTCTGTGGGAATACTACTCTACGGCATCAATTTAATTTCTGGGCTGAAGTCCTTGTAGCATAAAAGCATAAATCCTTAACAAAATTTCTAGCAAGAGCGCTCCAAGAATAGAGAGTATAAATCAAAGACTTAAATTGAGAACGATTATGTCCAAGTAGTCACGTAAGGAGAGAAGGAAGAAGGGCGTTGCTGACCTTCCACGGTGAGAAAGCAGAGTCATGCTTGGTACGCCTGCAATCTTCTCTCTTTAGCCTGTTGCTGCTGCTGATTGTAGCGAGGGCGGTCACAGATTTCTCCATAGCTTCCACTGATAGAGTGATAGATGGAGAAGCTCGCTCTCCACTCTCCATTCTCCCACTGTCACTGAGCCTGAGCCAGCGGACCGTTGCTGCTTCACAGCGGAGTAGTTCCTTGACTTCCTTCCTTTATATAAAGCGCGGTCGTGTTTAGTGTGAAATTACTAGCTTGCCCGCAGTCACGCCGAGAGTTGCACAAATGGGCCTCGCATATTTGCAAATTTTCTTCTTCTTCTTCTTCTTTTTTATGTAAATTAAAAATTTTAAATTCTTTACAATTATATAAAAAAGTTGATCGTAAAAAAAAAAAATCCGATTAAAATTAAGCTGCTATGCTTTGAATATGCGGTGGGCTCGGACACATAAAGGGCATTTAAGAGATCAAAAGGTGAGAAAAGGAGGACTGATCATTTTATCTTTTTAAAAGATTAACTAGATAGACTCCTGTCCTGTCCTGTCCTGTCTACCACTTTGGTGGCTGCGGTGTTGTATTGGAGTATTATTTTTGGGTTGCTACTCTGTTCATGCGACATGGTTGTATTTGGATTGCATTTTTCGTCATTTTTCTTGGAAAAATTACTGTAGCGATTTGATATATGTGAGGAAAAAAGGTGATAGAGAAATGTGATCACGAAAAATAACAATATTTTCCAACGAAACAAGCAATCCAAGCATGGCTTTAATTTGGGTGTGAAAATAACATATGGTTGGATAGTTACCTGGTGACCAAACTAAAAAATGAAATTCTTATCCTATTGTTGTACTTGCACAATTTTCTAGGGTGGGGCTAAATCCATGCGCCTAGCATTAAGATGACAATAAAGCCCATGAGAGTTTAATAAATACTTTTTTTGATACAAAAAATTGTCTTTCATACAACAAGAAATATTTAAGAAATTAATTATAAATTTTAATTAATTTAAATTGTTTGATACCGTCATCCTAATTATTGATCTACTAGTATTTTTTAAAAGTATACTGCGATCAACTTTAAAGTGCAACGTGCCAAAAAGATAAAAATATCTTCTTAACACAATTAAAAAAAAAAATCTCTCATCTTCTCTTACATGAAAAAGAAATAAAAACATTCTCTCCACTAAATAAGAGGAAAAAAATAGGTGGCATCGAAGTTAATGAAAAAATGTCAAAAATTTTAAGATCATTCACAACAACGTAAAATTCAAATGCAAATTAGCACCATCTATTTTTAACAAAAAAAAAATTAAAGCCTAATTTTTTCTGTTGAAAAAGTTTCTACCAATCCCCATAAATGGTATGGATATTTTGGTCAACTTGATTATAAGTGTGGTAAAAACGTGAATCATTAGTTAGATTGCTTCTGAGGCCAAGTTGATTGATAATGTGATGCATGTGACATATATATATATATATACGTGTGTGTGTTTAGACAGGAGATTATTTGAAATAATTATTATAATAATTATTATAATATAATATATATAAAATAAAAAAATAATTAAAAAATAAAAAAAATGTCAAAAATTATATTTATGATGCAAATAAATAATTTAAAACCAAATAATCGCTATCCAATAACAAGCTTGCTTCAACCCTAAGAAAAATGGTGTAGCCAAAAGTTTATTGTACTGTTTTTGGTCACGCGAGGTTATCAGACATGGGTCCATATTTTGTAGTCGCAAGTCAGTATTGTCAGAGCCTTATTGATTGTAGTTTTCTTTTTCTTTTTCTTTTTTTTTCTAATCCCTTAATATTTATTCATTTATTTATTGGGTCCTGATTGATAATAAAGAAATCACAAGTAGTGAGAATAATTGTCAGTCACAAGCGTTTTGAACCATGCATGTACTATTTTATCAATTGTTAACTGTCACAAATAATTTATAAACATTTTTCACAAAGATGTGAAATTAGTGCAAAGGTAATCCGAGTCCACAAATTAAATTCAAACCGCATTATTCCAAATTCATATGTTAATGGTGGCTGCCGACTGAACTGCAAGAGATGATTGATTAGGTTATCTAGGCAGAGGATAAGAAGTTACTCTCAGTACTGCTCTTACCTTTTTAGAAAGAGCAAAGACGTGAACAGATAATGGTTACCAATTTCCAAGTAATTCTAGAGTACGTGGCATATAATTTGCAAGCATAGCCAAAATAGCCTTGTGGAAAGTGGAACCTATTGTCAATCAAAGTCACCCGGAGCAAAAGCAAGATTCTAACTTGTAAGTGTAGCCGGCTCGTATTGACGTGTGGTGGACTCGTCTGATCTGATGATGATTCAATTTTTATCAGATTCCCTCAACTCCCCCTCCTCCTATCCTCCTAGGAGTAGGAATAAACTAGACATGTGTTATTACAGTCAAAAAAAAAAAAGAGTATAACCGACCCGTGACATAGCAGGGCTGACGAAGGGAGACTTCTTTAATGACCATAACTCATCCTCCATTTTTTTTTTCCCCTGTTATTACTATCTATTTCTACTCCTACTCTATACTCTATACTAAGAAAGGGGATGATCCAACATAACTCATTCTCTGGATATAAGAACTAAGGCCTCTAGATTTACTGAGTCCATCGTGGCATTGGCAGCATGCTTGTGGTAAAATAATATGTACAGCAGAGCCAAAAATGCTTCACTGGCAAGAAAGTGAGGATGAATTTTTAAGTAGGAAGCCTGAATGACTAGCATCCAAGGGCAGTGCAGCGCAGAGCAACTCGAGAAGTTACTTAATGAAGCTAATCCACCGGAGGGATTAGCAAGGTAAAAGTTGATTCTGTGGTTGTAACTTGGGCAAATACTTTCTATATTATATTACACGTAAATAACACGAAAAACTATAAAGTTGATAATTACACTACTCTTGCCTGGACATCCATGATCATGAATTATAATACCCATTAGCACCCCCTTTTCGCAACAAAAGTATCTTTTCAGGATTCCTCGGATAACCAGACGAAAAATAGTGAGTGGTGGTATCTTTTTTCTTCTCTTATCTTTTTTAAGCCTCGGTGATTTCTATGCTTGCATTATTTGTGCTCATCAAAGTCAGCTGTCTTGGCCCTCCAATAGAACAGAGACAAGGCAGCATCGTGGAGTCTTGACCTCTTTTGTTCCTCCTTTTGGGTGCAGAGTCGGTGTGTCCTTGCATGGCATACTGTGTACGATGCTGATTGCGAATGCAGGGAGTGCAATAAGGTCTCTGAAGCTTGTTGGTTCTGTTCTGACCACGGATCATCTGTAACAGTGACTCCATTCCATTATATGTAATTTTACCCCCTCCACTCCACTATGGGTTTCTAACTTTTGAAACCCTGACATGATACTTGCTTCATATCTGTGAACATCTCTCCATCACTATGAAAAAACCCAAAAGTGGGTAATGCCTATTACCGAGTAAATTGGGCACCTTTCAGCCCATTCCTTGTTGCTCTCTTGCTCTTGCTCCAAGAGAGGAATTCCATCTTAATTCCTCTCTTGCTCCTCCTTGTATTCTCTCCATATATATGCAGGATTGTTTTGGTATAATCAAATGGACAATAAGATTGCGACCTCTTTGCAAGTACTGTCGTTCAAGTTGGTTAACCTATAACTCAGTCGGGCCGGACTTATTTGATTCCGACTATTCTATTACTCGATTTGTTGTCCAAGTATTTGTTCTTTTGCCATTTGATTTGATAGATTATCCAGCTCTGATGTTTATATTGGTCCCTTGGCTGGGAAACAGGAACAAAGTCCGAAGAGCCAATGGAAAGAGCTACTAACCAAGCAAATTTTTAACGGGGCAGAATTCATTAGGCGGAATCCTGTATTTTATTTTATTTTATTTTTTGACCTGGTACTTTTTCTTATCTATTGAGATTTATTAGTGGCATTTATTATCGTTTTGTTGATTGCCTTCTTGCACAGGGAGAACTAGTTAAGCAGGAGTTTTAATTACTCAACAGTCGATCATAGTTCAGTAGCTCAACACGCAAAAGAGAATATTCCTTGTCCTGGTCTAATAAGTTATACCCCATCAAATTCCAAACCTGTCGAGTTGCCCGAGATCATTTGGACTTTTTTTTTTTTTTTTTGCATTAGTCTGACTTGCTCAAATGGACAAGATTAACTGTTTTGTTCTTGAAATAAAGAAAATGGTTAACCTTTTAATTTGTATTTTTAAGAATTTAGAAGTAGAGAAACATTTTTTAAAAGGAAAAAAACGAAATTCATAATACAATTACCTCTTTACAAACCTTAAAAACACATATTTTTTTTTCTATATAAAATATAAGCTAATATTATTAATAAATTAGTCGAGAATCATCTAGCACAATTTGCTTGACAAAGAATGCTACACTAATGTCAGAAAATAAATAAGATATGTCAAAGATATATCTAATTTAAAAAATCATTGGATTTAATAGAGTTAGAAAAAAATAAAGATTACACTACAAGTCACAAACTATCAAATTTGATCAATTACATAAGCTGTTCCATAAATATCTGTGCATGTCAATTCCTTGAAATCTGCTATCTAACTAATTCAAAAAAAAAAAAAAAAAAAACTAATTCAAGTTCAAAACTGATGTTGAGATTTAATGAAAAGATTCAAAAAATTCACATATCATTCAACCATAGAATTAAGTTGGTTTTCTTCATTCTTTGAATGTTTGCTTAATTTTCGAGATTGACAAAAAAAAATAAAACATTCTTCACATGTTTGTAATGATGATTATTTTGGTAATTCATGTTTTCCAATCACATAAGACGTGATAGAACATTTGGACAGTTATTTTTTAAATTTTAAATAGAAAAATATAGTCTAATAATTTAATGTATTTGATGTAAAAAGGTGTTTGACAAATATAATCACAGAAAAAATAAATTTTTTTTTTTTTTTTTTGCAGAAAACAATATGACTAGTTGCCAGACTAGATAAGAGAGTGATTTAATTGCAGTAGCTTTAAGAGAAATCAAAGTGCTCTTATCGCCATAATTACGAAATCATGTTTGTTTAATCAATCACGCTATTTCACAAGTACAATCATTTCCGTTGAGTTTCAAGAAATCAAAATTTAAAGTCAATTAATTTAACTTGCACAAAAAGACATAACTTTTGTTTAAGTCGAATATATTTGCCTATATTTTAAGGTCTATAAGTATCAGTATCATCA